TAATCAGGTCTCCCCGCAGCCTTCTCTTCTCCAGGCTGAACAAGCCCAACTCTCTCAGCCTGTCCTCATAGGAGAGGTGCTCCAACCCTCGGATCATTTTTGTGGCCCTCCTCTGGACCCGCTCCAACTGTTCCATGTCCTTCTTGTGCTGAGGGCTCCAGAGCTCAACCAAATTTCACAGAGGGGCAGCGATGCAAAAGGTTCTCAGTTACTGTACTGAGCCCAAACAACGCGAGGGCCCGGCTGCGCCTGTCCCCAGAGCTGTTTGTCACTTGGCCAACAGCTGAATTCAGGTTTTGTTTGACTCGCTTGGCGATCGAGAAGCGGTGGGCAGCCAGCGCATGGCTCCAAAGAAGCCGCTTGCCAGCAGGTTAAACAAATCAAGGTAGAGGGCAACGGTGGTGCTGAAAATGTGGTTATGGAACCCATTGCCCCAGGCTTTAGTGCATTTGCTGCTCGCAGAGTATTAATGGTTAAAACAATATGAATATGGACTCAATGTAACTGAAGAAACAGGAGAAATACTATCACAAGTAGATGGGCACTCGGAATTCTAGATAAAATAAAAAGAGTGCATTATAAAATAATTTAAGCTTACTAATTTACCCCAAATATGGAGTATTAAGTGAGATGCCTCGTGTGATGTTGCATGCAAATATTAAAGCCCTAAGCCCAATCTGGTAACGCGTTTCAGACTTGCCCCTGGGCTACATTCGTGCACCAGCTACATCCTATTGAAGCACCCAAGATGTTTAAGCAAGTTCTTGGGTCTCCCTGGCTTCCCTCACCGGGCTTTGCTTTAAAGGAAACCCGCTGGAAGTTTTCCTGTCTCAGGATACTGTTTGTGCTAAAATTGTGCCAGTTAAGCATGGACATTTAACTGATGCAGGGACGATGGGGCATTAAGGCTGTGTAAAATGTAACATGTAAAATACTGACTTCTACCCAGCCCACTAGTAAAAATTTGTCTTTTTAGACAGTATTTGTTCTCTCTCTATCAGTTAGTTGGGAAACCTTTACATTTGCGTATGTCTTAGATGAGAATGTATGCAGTCAGTTAGCCTGAGTCAGGTGAGAATGGTTAATACATACTAGTTTGATTGTCATTGGCTACCTGCCTTAAATCAACTGTTGTACTCGATTATGTGATGCTTAAGTAATGTAAAGTCTAAAGTAAACAGCTCTGTGTTCTAACCGTTCTTTGTGGCTCCCCCCCCCGTTTTTCAATGCGATGTCTCTAGCCTTATCCTGTCAAGAGGGAACAGAAGACGATGTTCTGGATGCGAGCTGCCTGTTAGAAGTTTTACGGATGTACAGGTGGCAGATCTCCTCATTTGAAGAGCAGGTGATTACAAAATTCAAGTTAGACTGCCCGATACACACCTCAGTGCTCAGATACGGAATCACAGAGAACTGTAGCGATGGTACTCTTAGCCCTGAGTGTCAAATCTAAATCTTTGCTGTAGCGAAAAGTTTGCTTTAAAAAGCGAAGGAAAACCATCACGTGATTGATGAATGGTGTTTTCAGTTTGCTTAGATATTTGTCATGGAAACCCTGGGTGCTTCAAAACCTCACACTTAATTACCATCAGATCTGGTCGCCAGTAATATTAAAATAGAACGGATACAGCCCTACATTCGCTCGAGATAATGGGTCCCTGCTAACGTCCCACGGTGCTTCGAGGCATGGACTCTGCTTCACTGACATTTCCAAATTTAGCTACATGTAACATACAAGATTTCTAATTCTTGTTTTTAGTATCTTCAGCCCCCAAGTGCAGCTGGCCGATGAACTCGGCCCATTATCTCACTCATGAAATACGGTTCTATCTTTTATATTTCAGAGCCAAAGCAAACAGCAGAGATTTCAGTTATGCTTTTTTTGAAATCAAGGGAAGCAGGCATTTGTGCCTTTATTTTTCTTTTTTTTTCTCCAAGTGTTTTAGTCTCTCTTGAGCTTATACGGCCCAGAATATTTTTAATAATGTCTGCTGTTACGAAGTTCAGCTTTATAGAAAAAGCTTTGTGGCAAAACTGCAGCAGACACACAAATGATTGCTGTTACTACCTAGGGTGGGCTCTAAGCAGAAATTTTTCCTTCCATTTCCTACTGCAATGATGTTGCCAGATGTGTGTCTGTACTCCTGGTGTATGCTTTTCTGCCTTTTGTTTTCGCTTCCTCTAAGTCTTACGCCTCTATTTAATAGGATGCTCACGAACTGTTTCATGTCCTTACCTCTTCGTTAGAAGATGAACGGGATCGTCAGCCACGTGTGACGCATTTGTTCGATGTGCATTCGCTGGAGGTGACTTCTTTACCAATCTTACTTCATTATCAGAAGTTTCTGTGGTCTGCCTAGATTCCTGAGTGTGTCAAGTACAAAGTGTCTGTTTAGAAACTGAAGACGTTTTCATTACGTTTACAAAGCTGTTCTTTAGTGCTCTGACAGAGCTGAATCAATAGGTCAGGCAATCTAAAGAATGAAAAATGGTTTTCGTAAGCAGATGTATTTGAATTTACAGCGATCCCACTTTCATGAGGGCTTTTGCATTCCTAAATCCACTGAATAGAGATTGAAATACTAGCACAGAACAGCGGTCCATCTAAGCAGCTTCTCTTCTCTGTAAGAGCAGGCACATGGAAGAGGTTTGAAAACTGCAAAATGGATGTTTATGGAATAGTCCATTTGCAGGTGAAATTTATCCTCCAGTTTAGTGGCAAATGTCATGCAGACGGGAAGTTTCTATCTCTCACTGTCTACAATCTATACAAAAGGTTTATAAAATCTGTTACACTTTTATTTTAGCACTGTGAGGCAGAGAATTCTGCAGATGAATTACCATTTTATTAGAAGAGTTCTTTTTGTCAATTATAAATTTGTTGCGTACCAGGTTGTTTGGCCTTCCTCAAATAAAGAGACTCTAAAACTCCCACAATTGTTCTAATGTCAGAAAATGGTATTAGGGATGAAATAAGAACATATTTAATACTTAATGGTTTCTAAGGTAGGGTTAATGAAATCTTTTATCTTCCTCTGTAGCAGCCAGAAATAACCCAAAAGCAAATAAGCTGCAGAACAAGAGGTATGCTTTTTTCCATTCTGAAATACGACTATTCATAGTGTAGTCCCTCTGCTTATTAAGGGGATAATATTAATTGATCTTTGTCTGTATTGGACTGAAATATCTCTCTCCAGCTGTAAAAACCTCATGAATTATTTTTCAGTGGGACAGAACATGTTTTAGAGTAGTTAATTTTGTTACTATGGGCCAAAAATGTGGAATTGCAGAGACGAAGAGAGATGTATTGAAAATAAAAGGACAATTTCAACTCTGTGTTTCAGGGTGTCTTCCCCCTGTGTCAAATCACTGGAAATCTCAGCATCCTTTTCACGGAAGGCTGACCAGCAACATGGTTTGCAAACACTGTGAACACCAGGTATGAGAATGTCTGTCTGGTAATAGAGATACGTGAAAAAGTGTGTCCAACAGTCAGAGCTGATTCTGAAACCGTCATCCCTTGTTCCCGACATTGCTGGTTTAAGCTCCAAAGGTTTGCAGGACTGATAGCTCAGACTGTTACTTTTTCAGGTACTTATTATGGCGTTGGTGATGAACAGGAATGTATCACTAAATATAGTGAAGAAAATTAAGCGTGATCCGCTTTGTGGGGGTAACAGCTGTTTTATCAGACAGAATCATAGCTGTCTTACTGTATTTAGTATTCAGTACCGCAGCTATCGTATACTGAAAATCCACTCACGTGGGTAGCGTTTTAGGACGAGCTATTCATCCAGCATGCAGTACTGAGATTGCACGTGCAAAGCCAAATTTAAGTTGCAGTCCAGTTATCCAGAGTCAGGACATGAAGATAACCTGGATAAAGAAAAAATACAGGAGGTAAATCTCATTCGTAGCTCAAACTCTAAGAGTACGTTTAGTACTTTTACTTTTCAAAAGCTTGCAAACAAATTTAAGCGAGCTTTTTTTTCAGGAAGAGGCCAAGTAGCACCTTGTGTACCCGGTGCTCCCTAGTGCTGCGACCCAATTCCACCCGGTAATTGTGGACAGCAGAGGCATACGTTCATCTCTTGTGAGGCTGGGGTTTGGTTTTGGACTGTCATAAATTTTAGCTGACTGGATACGTGCAATATTTTCTTGCAGAGCCCTGTGAGGTATGATACCTTTGACAGTCTCTCACTGAGTATCCCAGCAGTTGTGTGGGTACGTATCCTGGCACTGAGGCGTGATCCAGCCTTTGTAAGACACTACAGCCTAAGCGTAAATGAGTAGCTACAGTTTATTTTCTTGCCTTTTTATAAATGATCCTGCTGTGTTAATACAGTACCTTACCACTAATGCATCAGTGCAAATTACCAATTAGTACAACAAGCGTAACTTTGCTGACACCAGTAGTGTTTTGTTTCTCCTGGTGGAGTACTTGGTCCTTTCTGCGTAATTCGAACAGACCAGATCGTATCCCAAGAGCTGTTTCTGACAGTCTTGGAAGGTGACCTTCAGGTCCACAAGTGACCCAATGCAGACTTTTCGAACAAGTGATTTCAAGTGGAAAGTGTTTCCGTTTGGTTTTGGCTCTCTGAAAAACTCAAATGACAAAACATTGTAGATTCTGGGGGCAAAACATGCAGGACATTTTTGAACTATGATGGTTTGTTACTTAGTGCCTGCTAGCGATTTGTCTTTCCAGACAAGTAGCAACTACTTGCACTCATGGGGGACTCTGACTTGTACCTACAGAACACGCTCCTGGACAGCGAGGATTGGGATTTGGACACATCTTCTGCTATTTGTGTTTTATTTTACACCATCATTGAAGATTGTGCCCTTCAGACTTGGCACTGTGTAGTACAGTCTATGAGGAAGGATAGGAAGGAGTGCCTAAATGCAACTAAATGCTGTATTTCTCCTGTGTAGGGAGTCAGAGTGCATAAAGAGACCCATGAAGTGCTGGAACTTCAGAGAAAAACAGTAACAGGGCCAGGAATCTGGTGTTTAAAACCCCACTAAAGGAGTCACGCAGGAAGTCATAGCTATTGTTCTTATCTACAGGCTGCAGTTTTCCATGTTTAATCCAGGCTAAGGGAGATTCCCCGTCGTTACGTTATCAGTGTTCTGTAGGCAAAGCCATTTAGTCAGTTTTCTCAAGAAGTAAGTCTGCAATTCCGTAGTTTCTATGGAAGAAACGATGAAAAATCCTTTCACAAAATTAAGTGGTATGCACCCTAAAATTACTGCGGATAATTTTGGTTTTTCTTACTAAGGGTCGTCCCATGACGCTGGACCACTGCCTCCATCATTTCATCTCCTCTGAATCTGTAAAGGATGTTGTGTGTGACAACTGCACTAAAGTATGTTGTTTTAATTTATGTAACCTTCTAGCTCAGTTTTAAGCCTGCTGACAGAATTATGGCTTCCATTTTCTACTCCTTGTTTTATGACTTCAGGAAAGCCTCTAGCCTGCCTGGGACTTCTTATATTTAAAATTGAGTTCTTATCTTACAGAATATTGTGAAGCTTTATTTATTCCTAATATTACAAAATTTACCAATTTTGTATTCTGTAATTACCAGGTATTATTTAGATAATATTTGGGATGATTTTTTTGTTCCGGTATTTTAAACAGTATTTTACAGTTGCCTGTAATTTGATGATAGCACAGAGCCAAAGTGGCTTGTTTGAAACCCACCAGAAATGGCAAGTGACTACACGTAAACCTGGAGGCTGGGCTCGTTCTGTAAACGCTCGTTTCTGCTTGACTTTGGTTTAGAATTCTGATCTGTTAGGATAGGCCAGCAATTCTTAAGAAAGTTCCTAGGAAACTATAGGTATAATTAATGTGGTGAGCGTAGTTCTAGACAGACAATTGCTTTTGTCTGCAGTGTGCAGACCTGCACTGTTATGTGTAATCATACAGCAGGTGCTCAAATGGCTTTATTTTTTTTCCCTTTGATTTCAGATTCAGGCAGAAGGGACTCTGAATGGACAGAGCATAGAAAACCAGAGAACAACATTCGTTAAGCAATTAAAGTTAGGAAAGGTGAGGCAAGCTAACCCTCCAAATCTATTTTTAAATCCTATTATACAGTAATTTCTTTTTTTTGATCTCTTTGCTTGATGTCCATTTCTTGATATTAGAGCACTTGAATGTTTTACTTAAAAACGCAAGCTCGTTTGTCAAATATTTATAGGCACTGAGGCCTCAATTCAGCAAAACATCAAACTATACCTTAAAGAATGTGAGTATTCTACTGTTAATCAGCAAAACACTTTAATGTGAGTTTGGCTCAGTGGCAGCTCATACGTCTTACATTAATTCTTGATTTCCTTGTTTCCAGTGTAGGATCTTCAGCCCAGTGTAGGATCTTCAGTGATTGCATGTTTCAAAGAAATTAAAATGTTCTGAACACAGCTGGTTTTAACAAGTGAACATGGTGCTAAACATCAGGTGTAGTTTATGTTAGAAGCTTTTAGAATGTTTTGCTCTGTGATCGTATAGTGCAGAGGACAACAAGGTCTGTAATTAAGAGCCTCAGGTGCCATTAATAATAACATATACTTCTTGATAGAGGTTAACCCTGGCATGACTTCGAATGTCAGATATTTATAACTGCTTGACCTTTTTCCCCCCTGGTACTCTCACCGTGCAAAGACATTACTTACTGAGTATTAGCAAATGTCTCACAACAACTCGCTCCAACAAATTCCAATCCTCACTTCGACCTCACAGATCAACAAGCTGAATGAGATTGACAGGTGGGCTTTTTAGGAACACGCATGTATTTTGACTGATTTTTCTTCCATTTGGAGAAAACTGTTAACGTTAGCTAGCTATCCTGCTGCCTAGGGAGCGAGCAAGTAGCAGCATTAGCAGAAATCTCAAGAGTTGTGAGTTAGCTTCATGTCTTAGGGATACTACTGCCAGTAAGCTTACACGCAGCTATAGAAGCCCATAAGGGAAGAGTTCAGTGATGGATTTCCTTATCCACTAGACCTACCAGTTTGGTTAGCGTGCTTTTCACTTGAATAGCTGTTTCTCTTCATTTAAAATGTATTTTGACTCTCCTTTGCTATGGGATATTGCTGAAGCTCCCTCAGTGTTTGTGCATCCATCTGCAAAGACTGAGCTGGTCAAACCAAGGCACTCCTCTGAAACGTCACGAACACGTGCAGTTCAATGAGTTCCTGATCATGGACATCTACAAATACCGCATTCCTGTTCATAAATCAAGCCAGAATGAACTGAATCAGAAAAACTCTGAAGAGATAACACCTGGAACAAAGGATGGGATAGCAGTAAAACCTTCAGGTACTTATTTTGAAAATAAAATCTATCGGTATTTCTGAGTTTCAGTGATAAAACATTCTAATCTGCAGAACAAACATAAGAGCAGTAGCTTTATTGGATCTGTGCAAAGAGGACAGGTGGAAAGCCCTTTCCCAGCAAGCATTAAGATACCCTGACCCTGTTCCAAGTTTACAGTTCAGCTTTGATAATTTATTTTGATCCTACTAAATACTAACAAAACTTACAAAGAAACAAAAAAGAAAAATCCCAGATAGCACAGAACTCACATGTTTATGTCTGAAGGAACTCGGGAAGACCTAGGGATTATCTTGTTAGCAATCTCTTCTAAGGCTTCAGGACAAGCATAGAAGGAATGCTGGGAATGGCGACTTCTTAAAAAACAATTAGAAAATCTAGCTGTAGTAGGTCTGTCATTTGTGCAGCTCAATATTCTGTTTTGTTGGGATTTTGTAAGCGTGGTCATTTTCCTGTTTGTGTCATGTAAAAACAACTACCCCTGTCTTTGGATATTCTACTCCTCTGCATCTCTTAAGGGACTGTGGTATGTAATGAATTAAAAGAAGTAAAATACCTTCATATTCTGTGATGAAAGGTGCTGCAGGAACAGAAGCACTGTCAGCAGTATTAACAGCAGCGTTTAAGTTGAATGACTGCATGCCTGCTTTCTCTTGCAGATGCAGAACAGCCGTCTGGGACTAAGCCGCTCTTTATGAACGGTGCCTGCTCCTCTTCATTTTTAATGTCCTCGGGAACTTTTTCACTTGCTGCATTCCCTGAATGCAGGTAAGTTAGAGATTTGTACCCTATTTTGTAAATTCTGTCCCTTCAAATTATGTTTTCATTTATTCTGTCTTTACTATGAGACTGCATAGTCACAGAATTTACCATCTAGCCTAGCTCCTGTGCAGAATTTTTTTGCTTTTCTTTTGGCCAATTTTTAGTGGTTGTCTTCTGGGTCCATTTCTCTCCTAGAAAAGGGAGTAGAACATATTACAAGCAAAACTCAAAATCTTTCTCTGGTTGGTGGTGCAGTAAATCATCCTTCTGAATAGCCATAATCATCATCTTGCTGTTTTCCTCTACCCCTTTCATTTTTTCCCTCTTACTCTGATTTTAAAATTATTTCAAGAAATCCATAGATCTCTTACAGATTCTTTCCAAACATTATATTTAACAAGCTTGATTTCAGTTGCAGCTGCCATGATTCTACTTAGTAAATCGGCCTTGATGCTTCTCCTGATAATCTGTTTTCCTGGCCTTTGAGAACATTCACTTCCTTTCATGCTGGTGACCAATGCATAGTTAGTTCTACACCACTTCTTCTATCTGCCATTGCTATTTTCCCCACGGGGAAGACAATTCCCACAATCAGTGTGTTAAATAAGAAGCCTGGAAGCATTTTGTGCCAAATGTTTGCTATGAAGACAGTTGTAGAGCAAGTCCTTGAAAGCGTGGCCATTGTTATCTGTGGGTTACCTGCTGCAATTTTACTTTTCAGTTAAAAGCACGTTCTTCTAGAATAGCTTTTCTGTCCAGTAGCAGTGCTTTAAGGACTAAATACCAGCACATTGGTGGGTTTGACGGAAAACACCGTTGCAAAGTTCAGTCAGTTACGCTGTACAAAACGTAGCAGCCCTCTGTAGCATAAATTTTTAAAATAAATGGTTCTGTTTTCCCAAGAATAGAGTAAGGCAGCGCCACGGTGAAGACTTGCTATACTGAAAAGTAACTGCAAAGCAGTATGGCTCTTACAGAGCCATCTATTTGCTCTAAAAAGAAACTGCAACTGAAGACGAGGCAAGTGGGGCTGCTTCTGGTACGTGCGTGATCCACGAGGACTGCTGACCCCTTCCTTTTTCTCCTTTGCCCTTCAGTTCCCCTGTATACCTTTACCGTCTGATGGCAGTCGTAGTTCATCACGGAGACATGCATTCTGGACACTTTGTGACTTACCGCCGCTCTCCACCTTCTCCTAAGACCCCGCTCTCCGTCAGCAGTCAGTGGCTGTGGATTTCAGATGACACCGTTCGCAAAGCCAGCCTGCAGGAAGTCCTTTCTTCCAGCGCTTACTTGCTTTTCTATGAGCGTGTTCACTCGAGGGTACAGCACCAAAGCTTGGAGTTGAGGGCTGAACAGTGATTAAGAGAGCAGATGAAGGACAAAAACTGACAAAATTCCTCTTAACGAGATCTACGTTGCACCTCCTGTCCGTTATGCAAATAACCCACCGCAGGCCCTTTAACTTCCCCCTCCCTCTATGGCAATGGCTGGCTCCTGCTGGGAGTTGTGTTTTGTACCAAAATTACGCTACCCAAAGCTGGTCTGCTAACGTTGCGCAGTCCGAAGCATAGCTGCATTAGAGAAGCATTTATTCTGTTAGGTAGTAATTTTGCCAACGTCGCAGCTCTGAAACAGACATTTCAAACAGACTTCTCCAGGCTGTATTCCACAGCCTGACACGTAGGTAAATTTTCCAGGGGAGATGCTTAATTCTATACATTTCACTACCAACGTTTCCAAGCAGGGGAGCCCCAGAAGCGGTTGATGGGAAGCTACTGTTATCAAAGGCAATGATTTAAGAAACAAAGTGCCTTGAGCTTATTTGAATAGTAACACTACCATTGTCTGAGTCCACTGGATGTTCGCTGCGTTCTGATAAAATGTCTCAAGATGACGGGCTGAACTACTAACAGAGTCAGATTTCTCTTGATATCCCAGCTAATCAACAAAGCGAGGCATCTCTACATAACACGCACGATCCAAAAAACGACTTCCCAGTTCCCATCATTTTCCTAATATTTTAGTTCTTTATACATCATAGAAGTACTTCTGCTGTTTCAAAGTGCAGTTTCCTTTTTCCAGGAGAAAAGATCATTTTTTTAATCTACTAAGAGCCAACACCCTGATTTATTGCTCCTTATCTTTGGAATATTGCTGAAATCAAGGGACAGAAGTGTTTGCTAGCAATCAGTATTGCTAATTTCCTCCGCTGCTATGAAACTGTTGAATACGGTTGCTTGTCGTATCGACTGCAACTTCTAATGCTGTGATTTCAAGGCTGCTGTAATTGGTGTTCTAGACTTGCCCTTCCTATTTTACTGCTGAAAACTGCCATTTCTCATCAACCATCCAGATACACCCGGTCTGGCTTGCACTTGAGCTTTAGAGCTTGTACCGGTTGCGATTGCGAGCCGAGATGTAAAGCAACCCAAGCGTCCTCGTTACGTTAAGAGTATACACGATTGAATCAGGGCTGGTGGGCACTTACGTGTCTTGCGAAGTAGCACAGCAGCCTGAAAAGACCGGCGTCGCTGCATTAGATACAGATTGCCACATAAATAGAAGTAAGGTGTGCTTTGCTGCTCTAGATTGTTGGACGTGTAAAAAAAAAAAAAAATAAATAAATCCCAAACAAAGCGAGGGAGAAGCAGCAAAAATGATCCTTTTGACTGCTTTTAAATTACCAGGAATAAAGTATGTAGGCTATTTTTAGCTCTTTTCTATCTTCATAAGCTTGGAGAAAAAAAAAAAAAAAGATTAATTCATCAGACAAGCTTTTTCAGTGTAAAACAGCAACTAAGTTTTCAAATGGTAACGGCTGTCTTAATAGTTTTTTAGGGCAACTTTGTACCTCATGTATTCATATTGCTGCCCAAAGCTCACAGGCATTCAGAGTTCCTTAACAGGAGACTCAAAACCAGCCAAAAGAGGAGCGGTAATAGATATATATGAAAAACTATTTACCCAACTCATCATTCCAGAGTATGGATCACAATTCCTGCTCCAAGTAATGCTCATAGTACATAAGAGAGTCTTTATAAATCCCGCAGCAAACTAGTTCCCGAGAAGCCTCCCCATCTGTGCTAGGCTAGCAGTAGCACAGTTTTAACCTTTCTATTTTAAATTATGGAGAAACATGAAGAAAAACAAAAAACCTAGAAGGATGCAAAATGCCTAAAATGCCCTGGCCACTGAACTGAGACCTAACAGACTTGCAGAAGGCAAAGAGAAGAAAGCCCTGTGTTCTGGGCAGCAGGGGTGTGCAGTAAGAACTCTGTAAAGCAGTGCTGGCTGTCACCTGAGGAAAAGCATCATGCAAAGCATCTAGCTCCAGCAGGTCTGCCATCGGAATGTCAGAACTTCTACACACTTCCACTGCCAGCAGTGTACGTTCTGCAATACCTGTTCTCAGCGGGGTCTGTTTAAAGTTTTTAAACTCTCATTTTTTTGTGAAGTTGAGATGAACAGGTCACTTTGTTTAGAGAGGAGTAATGCTGGAGGTGGGTCCGAATGTACGCACACAATGGACTAAGTCTTAAACTCATCAGCTTCTAACAGGGACATAAAGCCACATATTACTGCAAGCTTGCACGTTCCATCTGTTTTTCTTTTCCTTTTGCATAAAGCTGCTTTCCAACAGGGGCCAGTTTGATGAGAATGAAAGCACAGTCGCTGTCCGACACTGATAAACTGCTCAGCTTCACTCAGCTGCAGACTTCCTCTGAAAGCTCCCTCAAGGGCTATAAAGATGAGGGTTAAGTAGCCACCATTTGTTCTCGCTTTCATCGCTAGGAAGGAGTAGATGGTCTTGGCTTTGCGCTCAGTGTGAGGAGGGAAGCAAAGTGCCAGCATCTGGTCCTCGTCCTGAGCTGTGCTAGATAATCCCAGCCTACTGTGAGCATTGAAGACCTTTGCCACCCAACCCTCACCTTTTGAAGTCATTGGGCTCTGTGCAGGCACAGGAGGCTCATCAAACGCTGGTACTTGTTAATCACAAGCTTCCATGGTGGAGAAGGTGTTAAGAAAACGTAAAAGTTTAAAAAACATCAGATAAGACCTCCAAGATGACATCTCTGTGTTTGGATTATTCTTGTCTTATTTTGTGCGTTATTTAAAAATGTATGATATTATAGTCAAACCACTGCACTGCTGTCTGAAGTTGCGTTTTCACTTCAGGGTATTTTTGTAACTGTACAGTAGCAATAAAAGAACAAACTTACTAGAAAAAGCAGCTGTTCACGTGTGGTAATGTCTTGAAACAACGACCAAGCTGTAAGCCAAGCCACATTGGGCATATCCCATAGAAGCAACACTTTGCATTCTCTGGATAAGAAGCGTGCAGGCAGGAGCTCTTCCCGCTATCAATGCATTTTCTGGAAGCAGCAGAGGGTGGGAAGTACCAACTCCAAATCCTCTACACACAGACATTAATTCCACGGACCTAGAGCCCGTCACCGATGCAGATGCTTGCAGCCTGGTCGCACAGGGAGCAGTTCACATTCTCAGTACTTACCATTGCTTGATTCCTCAAGACCCGTTGGATGCGCTCCTTCCTCCTTCCAGCAGGATTCACTGTCAGCATGGAAGGCGATGGCTTTCAGGTAGTCAGAATGGAATCCCTAGGGATAATTATTTGGAAAAACACTCTCAGAAGTTGTAGCCTTTCATGCTGCATTGTCCATATAGGTGGTCCAACCCAGTCTTTCTCAAAAAGGCCATCTCCCTGGTTTCTGTACAGAGGACTGAAGGAAGAAGAGGCCCTCTCCCTGTGCGGCAGCACCTCCTGCTTCCTCCTGCCCCACCACGCTACTGACCAAAAGGCCCCCGTCTCCCACGCCAGCAGAGGAGGTAGAGCAGCGGAGGGACATGAGCAGACAGAGGTCATAGTGACTGTAAAACACGCAGCCGGCCGTGTTGCACTCACTACATTCGTATCTTGGCACTCCTCTTTTTCATGTCAGTCTCTTTTGTATTTTATTTTTTAAAAAACCAGCAAACCACAGCTCATTGACAGAGCATACAAGAAAGCGTCACCCATTGAACAGTATCAACTTCCAGGCTCACTCTAAATTATTACAACTTGTACTTTATAGTATTTATAAACTATTTCACTGCTATCTGAAGGATAACAGAGTATATTGATCCTTTTGGAAAACTGGCTAGCTTAAGACCAGTTGAGAACAAACTTCCTCCTGAGCAAAACAAGGGTATTGCTCCTTAAACGTATCTATCAGCAGGACTACAGCAACATTTCACAGAGGAAAAAGTATTCCTGGCACTTAAGATCAGTAGTTGCAGTCTTTATTAGCAAGTTACCAAGTACACCATCTCCTCTCCTGGTTTAGGTTGTTCATCCGGCACCTTGAATCATCAGTGTCTGAACGAGAAACTGAAAGTTATGTCAGGGAAGAAAGCTGCTGTTTTCAGAGTCAAAAGATTGCTTGATTGCTGAATATTTCACTTCTTGGCTACAGGGATCACTTTCCGAAATGTGAGGTTGATTCTTGGGGCAAGGACTCTCTTGCGGGTGGGCAGGCTGTGGTACCAATACACGTTGGTGGGGTACTTCATCATCAGCAGGCTGCCGTGGGCCAGCTGCAGTGTGATGGGCTTAATGTGCCGCGTTGCCTTTTTCCCTCTGGAATCACAGTGCCTGAAAACAAAGTCCCTGCAAGCTCCGAAGGACACGGACGCAATCGGACTGCGTGGAACCAGTTCTCTCTCGTCATCTCGATGTTCGCCTATGTGGTCCCCACCATCTTTATACCTGTAGGCAGAAGAGATTAGTTAGTTCTCTTACCAATCCAATTAAATGAATGTCAAACAGCTCCCCAGTGATCTGTCAACAGTGTTGCACAAGCAATTTTTCATTTGAACAAGGTGCTTGATGCAACTGGAAAATTAACAGACATACCTGTTAATAAGAACAAAATTAAAAGTATGTCCTGTCTCCAAAGTGACGCGGTCTCTGATGCGGTTGAGAACTGGGATCCACGGCTTAGGAGAGAAGGTAACGCCCGAGTAAGTGTACGTTAACTCAGGGTCTCCATAGGTTACCTGCTTCCTTGGAATGTCATGCCACTTGCCAAACACGTGCAACTTCGTCATTTCACCTGTTCAAACAGGAGATAATAAGGATCAAAACCAACGCTGTATTACCTCCACAGTTCATAGTCTTCAATATTCTTGATTTGGCGCTTCTGTGAATCTCCAGTGGGACAACAGAAATGGGGATGCTTGTGACAACCCAAACGCTGTCATCTCTGAGTGTTTCTGCCCCAATAAGGTACTTAGCAGTCCGGTTTGACGCTGCCTTGAATGGGATGAACGGGACTAGCACCCCCACTAGTTGAATTAATGCGACCAGGGATATCTCATATTCTACATCTACCAACAAACTCCCGTCACCCTTCTAGGACTATCCCGGTTCTTCGGAAACATTAAAAAATGTGAATGAAACTGCTGGGCTCACACTTCAAGCCAAGCAAAGCCAAGCCTGCAGGGTCAGACCTATGTTCGCACCTCGCTTTGCGGGGCCTGCTCGGCAAACACCAGGCGCCATGGGAATTGTGCCGGGGCTCTGCAGAGACCCCTGCCCAGGCCACGGGAATCGTACCCAGGCTCTGCAGAGCCCCCTGCCCAGGCCACGGGAGTCGTACCCGGGCTCTGCAGAGCCCCCGGCCCAGGCCACGGGAGTCGTACCCAGGCTCTGCAGAGACCCCTGCCCAGGCCATGGGAAT